ATCTTGATGGATAAAATAATTGAAGAAGTTCATGTGACGAACGATTACAAAAATGAACGTGTTTTCATGTATTCATATTCTAAATCCACAATGAACCAAAGTGATGTTTCTATCAAAAATTTGTTGCATCGATTACAATAGTGTACTTGAGCAGTGAATACAATTCATTTTCGATATTGTCTTCAAGCAGATTATCATCAAATTGACTCGCATTATCAGATATTTTGTGTGGAAAGTCATAAGTACATGGACTGGCCAGGCTATACAACGCTTGCAACGTTGCTGGCCACAATGCGTTTCCTTTGCATTGTTTCAGCATTAACGAAAATCATAAATACGTTTGACTGATACCGTAATGACGAAGATTCTTGTTGTTGGGTGATGGTCATTTGTCGTTGTTGTTGCTGTTGTGGTTGTTGGGAGTTCAATCGTGCATTTTTTAGAATACTCATTTCTGGAGTTGGCCTTTGATTTCGTCGCCAAAAAACAAGTTCTTTTTTGCAAATTTCAATAACATCTTCAGCCATTTTCGGATCGATTTCAGTCTGTTTATCGTATTGTAACGCATAATTAGTCAAACGAAATGCAGTCAACGTTGATGGCTTTTCGATAATGGTTTTGACCTGAAATAAGCAAACGTTTTTCGAAGTAACCAATCGATAAAATTGGCTCCGAGTTCATCCTAGAAGTTGATGAAAATCAGTAATACTAACGAATTTTTTAGACTTGAGAGCACTAAGAATCCTTTGACGTGTTTCGTTAACCGCAGTTACAGGCGCACTTTCGACCGACAAGATTGCGTCACCACGTGCAAACGACCACGATGAGACACTGTTTGGTTCAGTCGATGAAACGTAAACCTGAATCAGAGCTGAGGTTGGCCACTTGAAATCGGTATGAAGATACTGATTTATCAACTATTGGCATTAGTGTCGTTAATTAAACGACATTTCGGCATCACTAGGATTACAATGAAATGGATCATGAAGTGGTGAAGTACATCATGTGGTGCAGTGAATATTGAAATGTAAAAGATATTCTTACTGTGGTTCAATTCTTTCAATTCAACAATTCTTACTATGTGATTCATTTGCAAGTGCGATTATGCGATTTCGTATTTAGCGATTTGAGGGGCTAATTCTACCAGAACACTTTTTGTAGTAAAAGATGAAATATAATGACACAACAGTGAAAACCTTTTGATTATATGATTTGACGTGAATACCAACTCTACAACCCGGAAATGAGGTCATATATGCAACATAATACTCATATCCAGGCAGTATTTCGAATGCTTTCGGTAATTCGGCAAATATTTCCTGTTCGCTTAACTTCTTCAACCGTATCGGCCTTCTAATGTCAATTCTTATCTGAATTCAGCCCAACGTTCATATTTTATACTCATAAAAAAGTACGATAAATATTAT